ATTTTACTTACAACATGAATAAACTAGTGAGTTAAAACTCAACGAGCGCAAATATTTCTCACAAATTTTTTTTTCAAACATAGTATCATAAAGGAGAATGTATGACCATTTATGCTTTATTATGATAGTCAAATTATTCTTCTTTGGGCTTTGTGCTCGTATCCATATGCGCGCGACTAATGAAGATTGGAAAAGCGACCCAAATATTTAGTCCAATAATTACACCCAAAGTCATAAATAATTCTTGTTAAACCTCTCATCCTCATGAGCTAGAGGAAATTCCTCTTATCCTCATAGGAAGGGAGTGGTACGGCACTTAACTTATCTTTATTATCTCAGTCTCTTATTTTGGTGAACATGTGATTATGATCATATTACATAAATATTATAAAATAACTTAACTGAAGAGGCATACTTAAAAACATCATCATCATCATTCATAATATACACATGTTCATCATCATGCTCATCAATCATAGAGAATTGATGCACACAAAGCAAGCAATACAACAAGCACATCTTTTTAAAACAATTCATGTTGTAGAAGAGGTTTGTATTCGCCTAGGTACTAGCACTTAGTGCTTATAGCAACCCATTCTCGTAAAGTCATACGTTCTGTGCTCAAGCAGTACCGATAACGAGCTGTTAGTTCATTACCAAAATGATCAACTTAATTTACTTAAGTCTTAGAGGTCATGCCTTATGAAAAATTATTAAGATTAATTTATTCAATTAATTACCCTTCTCATAATTTAAATCACATTCCTGATTAGATAACGCACTTTAACTAATTAATTAGTTAATCCTCCTTAAATTTTATTAACCAACTTATATTAATTATCCTTTTTATCAGTTATCATTAATCAATTAGTTAATTAAGATAATTAATTAATTAATTATCCTATTAAGTCCTTCTAATTATTCAAGGGTCTCGAAAATTAGTTAACTTCCCGCAAGTATACCCCCAGTCTGCCACTAGATTACCCTCTAAGTCTACTTGGGTTCACCCCTTACCTTAATCACATCTCTAAGAGAAAATTACTGAACTTACCCTTAAAAGTACATGAGTCTGGATTTTTCCCTCTTATTCTTGATTAATACCCTTTTGTTAATATAGTTATTTGACTAAAAAGAGTATTAAAGGGTATTCGTCAAAATTTATCCACATCTAAGGATAGGATTGGGCCTTATGGACTTGGGTCGTGATGTGTCACCTAATCGGTTTCTCTTGGTCCACCTAAAGGTTACTTTATTTTTCTCCTTAGGCCTTTAGGGCCCATTTGAAAAATGAGAGTTACCTTTGGTCTTATGAAGGGATCTAGGTTAGACTCGGGTTTCTGACTCCGGTTGACGGTTTTAACCACGGGTACCCCTAGCGTGTTTTGACAATTCTAATATCATGAGCCTAAAAGATTTATTATTCTGCAGTTAAGGACTTTGAGCTAAAACTTGGAGTTTGGTGTCCGTTGGACAGTTTTACCCTTTTGCGATGAAAATGACTGTGTTGGCCCTAAGGGCTTTTCAAGTGACTGAAGGGTTCTAAGCTCAAATTTCTAAGTCTTTTGATGCACTAGTGGGGCTTTGAACTCTTCTATAAAGAATTACCCAAATTATCTAGAAATTACAATTTTGACCTTATTGACGGAAATTTTGACATTTTTGGCTTTCGGGGTTGGTTTAGATTTTTCCTTACTCTATAGGTTCATTTTCCTACAACTAACAAAATACCAAACGGGGCCAAAAGCTAATTCTAATTGGTTGAATCATTTTGACATCAGTCAAAGTTGGGTTAACAGATCTCTCAGATGCGACAAGTCTCTATCAGAACAAAATCTGAAAAAACTCAAAAAACCATATATTAATAGCTTAAAGCTCAAATTTTCATGCCATAACAACTACTACTCATTGCCAAATCTTAGGTCTCACATTAAACTAGTTAAAATTTGCATTTTTCATAAGGCAATTGCTAGTCTACCATAAATTAAATTATTTACCTTATTTAAAACCCTAAAAGACAGCCTTCACATGAGCATGGTATCAACTCACAAAAATCACAACGCTAGAGGCAAAAATAACTTAGAAAATGTATTGTGAATGACAACTTAACAAAACAAATCTTCCAACTTGATCTCCTACTCTTTGCTTAAGGAGTGAGTGCTTTCTTCTTGAGATTGGTAAGGAAAAATTTTGAGAGAAATAGGAGAAGGCCGATTTTGTTGGGAGAAAGGGAGGATTTTTGAGCTTTTTGTAGCGTCGGGTGAAGAGTAGAAAATGACTACCCGCTCAGTTCGCTGATTCGAGTTTTTAATTTGAGTTGAGATGTGATTTTATGTGAGCTTTTTACTGTAGCAAAAAAGTTAGATATAATTGTTTCTGAGAACTTTTTACTGTAGCAAAACTCGAATTCTAAATTCGAATTGGTGAAATAAACGGAGATTTCCACTCCCATTTATTTATAGACCAAGCTTATAGAGGATTAAATAAAACAAAAAAATAATAATAAATTGCTATCCAGACCCTAGAGAAACCGGCCATGTGAGGGAGGGGGAGAAAACAATTTGAAACTTGCTTTACCTCCTATTAACCATTGGTTTTGAGGTGAAATGATGACTATTTACTTTACGTTGTTTTAGCCACCATACATAATCCTATTCTCCTATTTACGCCTATTCCTTAAGTGCTCACCCTTAATCCAAGATTCTTCCACATCTCCTTTGCTAATATTAGTATTATTCTTAGTGCATGGTCCGTTTACTTCGCTGATTTGAGTTTGTAATTCGAGTTGAGATGTGATTTTATGTGAAAGCTTTTACTGTAGCAAAAAAGTTAGATGTGACTGTTTCTGAGAACTTTTTACTGTAGCAAAACTCGAATTGATGAAGTAAACGGGACCACGTCCCATTTATTTTACCGATTCGAGTTTAGAATTCAACTTTTATTATAGTAAAAAGCTCTAAAAAATAACCACATTTAATTTTTTTACTATAGTAAAAAGTTCTCACATAAAGTCACATCTCAACTCGAATTAAAAACTCAAATCAACGAACTAAACAGACCCCTAAATATGACTAATTGCTTCATGGAGAGAACAAACTTCTCTCTCTTCCTCCTTGGTGGCGCCAATTAAGACTCCTTTTTTTATTTTTGAATCCTAGCCTTCAAACTCTCATCAAATCTCCACCATTGAATTAACATCATTGCTCATGTCACCTATTGATTTGATGAAATTAAATCAGTACAATTTCATTTGTGCTTACTAATCTCAATATATATTTATACTTATAGTATAATTTATGACAAGTTTATTTTGTAACTTCGAATCACAATTCAATTTTTTACTATAGTATTTTCTCTTATAAAAATTCAAATTCAATCTTTTTTACTACAGTGTTTTCTCTCACATGAACTCAAATTTTTAACTCAATTTTTTGACTCGAATAAACGAAATGAACGAGGATAAATGACATGAGTTGATATGACTAGATCTATAGTCAGTGATATTGTTGCAACAGAGAATCATCGGTCTTTGTTACAACACAGAATTAATTTTCTACTATTGTTTCTAATTTGCACCGTAGTTAATCACAATTTTTTTAGATTAATTTAGCTAATCTCTAAACTAATTATTGATTTTAACAGTTCACTTTTTAACTCAAATTTTTAACTCGAATAAACGAAATGAACGAGGATAAATGACATGAGTTGATATGACTCGATCTATAGTCAGTGATATTGTTGCAACAGAGAATCATTGGTCTTTGTTACAACACAGAATTAATTTTCTACTATTGTTTCTAATTTGCACCGTAGTTAATCACAAATTTTTTAGATTAATTTAGCTAATCTCTAAACTAATTATTGATTTTAACAGGAATTGTAACTCCGGTTATTAGCGTGTAATCTTCTCTTTATGTCTATCATTCATCCGTGAAATTTACCGAGATTGTCTTATTCCAAAAATTTCGTCACATAAAATCATAGACTCGTATACCATAAAAATTTGGCAACAAAATAAATTCTTTAACTTCCATCACAAAGTCACGTTGACATAGTTCAACAATTTAACCGGATAATTCGTTGTTTAAATCCAGATAATTTTTTAAATTTATACTAATGAAATTTTCAGACATTAAATAAGAATAATTTTTTAAATTTACGCTAACATACCAGTAAGTCAGGTTTTTTGTTCGTCGGATCTGTATAAAATCACGTAAAAGTTAAAAAGTACACATATCTAACTGTTAGAAAAATTTAACTTATTTGTACACCAGACATATCAAATTTTTTTTTCAGCCCAAACTGTGGCCTCGTTCATTTCACCGATTCGAGTTTGTTACAGTAAAGAACTCACAAAAATAATAATATCTAACTTTTTTACTATAATAAAAAACTTATAGAAATAGTCATATCTAATTTTTTTTATTACAGTAAAAAACTCACATAAAATTATAGGCAAGGTCTCTGGTCAGGCACTTGAAAAGTGCCTGACCAGAACGGCACTTGGAAAGTGCCTGACCAGAACGGCACTTGTACATTTTTGTACGAAGTGTGTATATTTACAGTAAGTTGTGTATATTTACAGGCAAGTTGTATATATTTACATGACACTTGTATAATTGTGCAATCGTGTATATTTACATGTAAATTGTGTATATTTACATATAAATCGTGTATGTTAAGTTATAAGAAACGACAATGTATATTAATTCTCAAAACATATTTTTTTTATAACAATTAGTGAACACATAGCATGAAAATATGTATATTGACTGATTTGTTGTATTTCATGTTAAATATACACGACTTTACATGTAAATATACATTATTTACATATAAATATATACAATTTATACACAATTATACATTGATTAAATATTTTTTAAATGACTGACCAAAGACAATTTTAAAATTATATTTTAATTTAAATTAAAAACTCAGAATTATAACTAAACGAGACTTCGTACATATTTTGCCCAAGCAAAACAAAAGGGGTCAACAAAACCCCACTTATCGTCACTACACAACCCTCTCTCGACTGTCCCTCCCACTCTCACTTGACTCTGAACACCAAACCCCAAACGGAGGGAGGCAGCAGAAGAGCCGTAAACCCCTAACCAGAACACAAAGTCCAAATGGCTCTCCTCCAACTCCAAACCCACACAGTTTCTCCAACAATGACTCTCTTCTCGCCCCTTATCCCTTCTTCTCTTACTTCTCCCCAAAAGACTTGCTTCTCTGTTATTCCTCAATCCTCCCTAAAAAAAACCCATCAACTCTTTTCTACCAACAACAACAACAACAACAACTCAGCCGTTTCACTTTCACCACTCCGACGAAAGTCGCTTTGTGAACCCCCTCGCGGAAAATATGTCAAAGATGATTACCTCGTGGTTTGCTCATTTGCCCATTACCATCATCTTATCACAGTCTCCGAATTGATTTATTATGTTTTTGTTTTGTGTTAAAATGATTGTTACTACTTTGTAGTGTTCTGGGTTTCGCATTGAATCTTGAAGTTCAGATAAAATCTTTTTATTTTTTATTTTTTTTATTTTTTTATTTTTTTGGGGTTTGCAGAAGAAGTTGTCCGCTCAGGAGATACAGGAACTTGTAAAGGGGAAAAGAACTGTTCCCCTTATTATTGATTTTTATGCTACTTGGTGTGGACCCTGTATTCTAATGGCTCAAGAACTTGAAATGGTATTCATCACTCTTATCTATTTAGCTTTTTCTCTGCTGCTATGCTAAATCCGTCACTGGTTGTAGAACACGAGATTATCCTATAGTCTTATTCGGAAAAACTAAGGCATAGTTCGCTTCGCGGATTTGATTTTTCAATTTGAGCTTAGATGTGACATTTTTTATAATCTTTTAACTATAAAAATTTAGAACTGAAAACTCAAATCATTAAAATGAACTAGGTGTAAGGTACTAAGTATGTTTATAGATTTTTTTTACAGCAACTCATATTAGCTTTAGCTCACATGAGGCTTCCAGTTTAATGAAATTAGAGAAGTTGTTTTTGTTACCAAAAGTGGTTTTTTTTCCTCTTTAAAATTTGATTGCTTGCTTTGTTAGATTTCTTGTTTGAAGCATATAGTGGTATGAAATCTTAATTTGGGTTCTCATGACAGCTTGCTGTGGAGTATGAAGACAATGCAATGATTGTTAAAGTTGATACCGATGATGCGTATGAATTTGCTCGTGACATGCAGGTAACTCGTGAACCAATCAGACTTTTGTGATATCGTACTCAATCATGAGGTACCTCTTTATTACACAATAAACTTTGATAGCTCAGCCCTATATGCATACATGTGTCACAAATCGAAGATTGTCTGTTTGTCATTCTCAGAATGAATCTGTGAAAAGGTTTTAATTTTCCATTGACACTATGTTAGGTGCGGGGGTTGCCAACACTGTTCTTTGTCAGTCCTGACCCGAATAAAGATGCCATTCGAACTGAAGGTCTCATTCCGATACAGATGATGCGGGATATCATCAATAACGAGATGTAGATTGAGTTTAGCAGCAAGAGAGTGGTGTGGCTTGTCAATTTTTTGGGAGCCTCTGATATGCTGTTCAATGATCACAAGTCATTATCTCAGCCAAGAGAAAAAGGAAAAAGAGGGATCACGAGCCTTTCAATTTCTAATTTGAGGTCTTTTCTGTCCTATTTATTTGCTGGAACAAGTGTTTTGAGGTTGAAATCATGATAACTCCGTGGTATCAAATAGGAAGGATGTTAGGCATATTCTTTATTTGATACAAGGAACACAAATTGTACGCCAATATGAACATATCATTTGGAGATTGAAATCAGCGGTCAATTGTGCGTGAAACCTGATTTTGTAGAAGAATTCATCTATGGCTAATGCTTATTTATTTCTTCAATTGGTCTAATTTATTCTCCTTAATATTTCAACTGTACAATAGTTGTTGTTTTTCTTTTCCTTAGGTAAAATTAATCTTGTAATCGTATTTAGCCTACTATAGTACTAATATTCAATAAATTAATTGTATATGTTGTAATCAGAATAAAGTGAAATACTATAATTTCATACCATTTTTCGCAGTTTTTCAATTTTCCCCTAGTAGCAAACGAGTTAACCCCCTTATGAGTAAAATGGGGAGGGGGCGACCCCAACCGCCCCGTTGCAATCCCTTAATTCGGGGAGAGGTGAGCATCTTCTTCCTTCCTAGTTCAAAATCTATAGAAATATAAGATGTTTATTAATTATTCAGATGTAAGAAATGTATTGTCTAACTATCCGCTTTTGTCACAACACAATATTAAGAAAAATGAAGTCAAAAGAAAATTCTCAACAATTACACTTTGGTTTGGAAACCAAGCTCAATACTTTGGCATAACAGACACATTCTGACTAAGAAAAACCCATTTACATGATATAATCTACAACCATGGAGAATTTTAACTTTTAGTAAAGATGAAATAAATGGCACAAAACAAGTCGGGATTTGTATCAAACACATTGTAGGCACTAACACAACAAGGTCCCAATTCCCAACAAGAACACAGAACAAACAAAACCCAGATGAAAAAAAGAGAAACCTCCTCAAGCAAGTCTGTTGGCGATTCTGATGGAGATCAAGATGGTGATGACAATGAGAGAGAAGGCAAAGCAAAGGCGAGGAAGTAGCCATTGGTACTGAGAAGGACACATTTGCAGGTGCACACTTTCCAATTTTATTCGTTATTTGCTTTTTCTTAGGTTTATCTCTATCTTGCTTTTTTCTTTTTTATTTTTTATTTTTGGAAAAACTAGTGGCAACTTTAGTTCATATTATGGGATTTTCCCATTTTTACTAAGGAATTGAACTCTTGTTTCTTTTAGGCTATGGGTTTTCATTAAAGTGGTTTGAGTTGGACCAGGAATATAAGCCTTTTTTATGTTTTTGAACATATATCTTTATGTATGTATACACTATCCATCATATAGACAAAAATATTTAAATTCTTAAGTGTGCAAAGGGTTATGATTTTTGCCCATAATATACGTGATTCAATTTGTCTCATAATTTGGTCCTTACTCGGGATTTTATTCATTAATTGTTTATTTGATTGATAAAGGCTTTTAAGTAACAATCTTTCCATTTGAATGCTTGGAGGACATCAAGGCTGTAGGAAGCTCACAATATAAGAAGAAGTAATCAGATTTATTATTTTGGACACTTTTCTTAAAAATAAAAAAATAAATTAAAGAACATTTTTAATATGTTTTTTTTTAATGAAAAGTAACCATATTTATTTATTTCTTTCCATTTAGACTGAATTTGTAATAAATTGTCTTAAGTTGCTAAATACTTTTCAATTCAGGATGACCAAATATATATACTGTATTCAGTAATCAGATTTATTTATTTTTGACACTTTTCTAATGATTATTTTATTTTTCCTACTTGATTCTCCTTTTATTTACTTTTCTTGGAATTTTATTTCGTCACGCACAACTGTGATTACTATGTCTTCGAAACCAGATCTTTACCATTTCTTCTTCAGAGAAGATTCCTGAAGTCCAAAGGGAATGGCCAACGATAAAACCAAACTCTTAGGATTTTACTTCAGGGTATATATTTGTTGTTTAGATGAGTAATATGTTGGAAGACATCTCTCAAAAATGGGAATTTCAGTCATACTTTTCTTCCTTGTTTGGTTAAAGGAGCTTTTAGAACATGACTACAATGGTACTAAGTGACCACAACTATGCTTAATTGTTAATTGACAAAGTTTCCATTGTAAGCTCGTTCATAATTGACATGAAAAACTGACTCTTAAGCATGAAGAATGAAACTTTTCCATGCCAAACAATTACAAGCCTGATGTTCGGTTAGGTTCTTACTGCTAAATTAACTGCTATCTTTTCTAGACCATCTATGTGAGAAGTGCATAACATTTCTGTGCAGCATTTGGCTTTGCCTTTGAAGTACTTATATTAAATTTGAGAAGATGTACATGGGCACTACACGTAGTTTGTATCCGAATTTATTGTGCTTTTCTTTGCATTTGGTTAATTTCTATAAAACACAAGAAACATATACCTCCTGAACATTTTCCTCCTGTTTTAAGCGGGGAATGTTGACAGCCAAACTCAAAAAGGAACTTCGAGCGTATCGCTTCGCATAGGTTGTAATCATCTATAATAGGTAAGAAATTAATGGCACAGGATCTCGACCTTATCGTCCAAAGAGGGAGGAAAATTGAAACGCACGGTGCGACAAGTACCAGGCATTTGCTTCTATTTTCTTTCTCGTAAATGTCGCTCTTCTAATCACCAATCACCGACCACTTGTTTCAATGCATGAAGGCTGAAATTGCCAGGTTGACAAAAGCATGATGGTTGTTAGCTTTATAAGTTTCCAAGTCCTCTTTTTCACCCATTCAAGGAATTATTTCCAAGCTCTCTCTCAAGGCCGGCAAGGTTCATTGCTCAGTGACTGTGAGTGAGTCCTTCTGTTCTCTCTCTCTCTCTCTCTCTCTCTCTCTTTTAATATTGATTTTTTTTTTTGGTTGGAAAATTATTCTGAGATTGTAAATTACTAGATTTTATAATTCATCCGTTGTAATAAGACTTATTTCTCATATCTTTTTGTGATAATTCTTCTTGCTTTATGAGGGTGTTGGTTGTGCTAGCTTACTGAAAAAATTGAAATTTTAATGATCCTAAATTTCTAAAGATTTTATCGTTGATCTAATAGAAGATTTGTTTTTGTTTTTTTGTCCCCTTATAATATGCTAAACTGTTGTTTCTCATATTAAGATGAATACCACAAACCAACCAGTACAAGCTGTGAGATTGTTGATTTTATTATTAGTACATCTGTAGGAAATCTTAGCAAGTATCGTCTTTCGTTCTTTCACCTTGAATTTCCTCTGCCAGCCTTTTTCTTGGAATTTAACACCCCTGGTACAGTGATATTCTGCATTTTGTTAGCCCCTCTTCATTGGAAGGTTATATAACTTGGGGAAAATCGTTCACCTTTAAGGAGGATCTCAAGATCACCTCCTGTTTTTTGATTGGCTGCACCGTGGTTCTTGTTTCAAGTGATTTGTTTAACAGAAAACCAGTCATCCTCATTGACCGCCATAGTCCCAATATCAATTATACCTTCCAGATCCGTGCTTTCATAGGCCTAATCACCCTCCTTATGAATTATTCCCTTGACAACACCCTCCTCAGCTTGTTACCCAGATGCACGTGCGGAGCATTCTCTTCTAGTTTAAAAATGTCCAGATCAGGCATCTTTGCCTCTTCTTGTAGTAATTTGTAAAGAAAAGTTATGTTGTTTGCTTCTATTGCTGTTTCTTTGATACGATTTGTTTTCTACCTTTTTGTTCCCTTTAGCCATCTCGTTTACTTCCTCTGTGCCTTTAAGCCTTAGTCTCCTCAGCAATTTCAACATTTTTTAGATGAACGTTTATGATTTAGTTCACACCAAGTGCCAAGGCGAGACAGATTAGTGCTTTCAATACTTCACAAAGATTGTTTTCTTGGTGCAAAGGCTTCTTGGTCTATGTTCCCATATCATAAATTCATACATACACATGCACTCTTCGAATCCCTTGCCAATTATGGTGTTTACCCATATAGGGCTATTTTTTTTTTTTATTTTGTTTTCTTTTCCTTTTTCTGTTCTCTTTCCATCTATAGAATAAAAATCCCGGAGGGGACAAGCAATAGTTGTTAGTGTCATTTAAGAAGATGAATTAAGAAGTGAATTAGGGGATGATTTTTTCTGGTGTTCATGCATTGTCATTGTACATATGAATGATGTTTTCCATCTACAGCTCACAATTATTAACCATTGTTTAAACTCCACGTATGCATATCAGAATAATTAGATTAAGGATTTGTTTGGTTGTTACATTAGGGCATTCTTAAAGCTTTTTTGGTGTAAGTAAAAGTTTTACACTTTAACACACTCATGTTCTCGCTCTTGCTTCTATGTTCTTCGGACTTTGAGTATGATTGTTCTTTTGTACGTGTACAGAATTTTTGGACCCCTTATATTAAATGACTAACTGTTAACGTTACTTAATGTCTCAAGTAGTTTGTGATCACATTCTAGTTCTTTTCAGATGGAGATTGATGTTATCCTACTAATTAATACAACAACAAGCCTTAATTCCAACTTAATTGGGGTTGGCTATATGGATTTTACATTTTCACGCAGTTCTGTTTGAAATTAGACAATTATTAATTAGTTATCCTACTAATTAATAATTGGCATAAATAATCAATCCAACCTTTGTCGTATTGTTACTAGATCATCAAATTATTTTTTGAGAATTTCTAATAGGAGCTTGTTCCTCGCGGTCACACTTTGATTTACAATATTGTTAATGCATGTCTTCTTGTTTTCCCTTTTCTATTATTTGTGGTCAAGACATTTGGTAAGATAAGTGCTTTCAGAAAGTTTTGTTGGAAATGTCATTTCGGTGATCTATTGTGTTATATCGTTACTTAAACTAACATTTCTTGAAGTTTCAAGTCCTTGTTTGTAATTGTTGGTTTAGTTTTTCTCGTGATATTAGGAAATGAGGGCTAATAGGTAAATGAAACAGATATAATAATTGGTGACTTTTAGCTTAGTTAATGCAATATGTTCGCAAATTACCGTATTAGCAAACTAGAAAGAAGAATATGGGATTAATATAGTTTGTTACACTTGTTTTGCTTTCTCATCAAGATATATAAAGAACCGAACAATACATGATTCATGAACTATAAAGCTCCACATTCAGAAATAAAGAGAAAATCATCTTCTCCGTCCATTGTAGAAATCCATGCTATCCAAAACTGCGGCCGAGTAACCATAGCTAATCTAAGCAACCAGAGTGCTAGCTAACAGTGGTTTTGCTTTCTTGACCTTATTACATTCGAAAGTCTGTTAGCTGTGGCAAATCTGCTTTCAAGATCTTGGGACGTCCTAAATCATCTGCATGAGTACTGTATTGTGTTTTAGTTCCAGTATTACAATTCTTTTAGGATGTCAAAGGGATCTTGGGATGGCCTCTTATACTGTTCCTTCTTTATTGTATTCTGAAACACTGATCACGATATGTTCGTATTGCAGATAGCTTTCATTTGGAGTTTTTTCCAGTCTTGTGGTAGGAGTTTCTTTTGTGGGACGCGGTAAGAGGATATTAAAATGGATGGAACTGTTTCTAAACGTATCAGCATGAGGAAGACTACTTGGAATGAAGTAGAATCTGTAATAGACGTTCTAGCAAATATTCTCTCAAGGCTTCCTGTTAAGTGTCTCTTACACTACAAGACTGTTTCTAAACTTTGGTATACAGTGATAAAGAGTTCTAGTTTCAAGAAATTGCAGCTAAGCCAATCGAGGGAGAATCCTGTTTATATGATTTACCCTTTTATGGATGTCTTGATAAATCTGTACTTGATTGATGCCCATGGGAAAGTCATTGAAAAAGTCTCTCTTCCAGGCTGTGAGAATCTTTCTTCTCTTTGCGTGATTTGTTCCTATAATGGTTTGGTATGTTTCAGCAGTTATCCATGGCTTCCATATTCCATGGCTGAAGTCGTCATGACAGAGTTGGAAATCCGTATGTGCAATCCTGCTACTCGTGAAGTCTGGTTACTTCCGAAAGGCAGCCTATCTGGGGAGGAATTAGCCACTGGAGTGGCCTTTGGCCCAACCAGCGAGTATAAAATATATCGTTTTTTCTGTCCCAAATCTGAGTCCGAGGATGTCAATCCCAAGTGCGAGATATATTCGTCAAGTACCAGAACCTGGAACGGAATAGGTTGTGTTGAACACTGTCCCATGGGTGCTTACCATTTATATGTTGATGGAAAAGTTTACTGGTTTGTTGCTTCAGATGCCGACAATGAAATTCTGGGGGCAATCCTTTCGGTCGATATGGAGGATAGCTTTGGAATTGTCCCCCTTCCAGAGGAAGTCAGTGAGAGATCATTTTTGGTTGATTTTGAAGGCTGCTTAGCATTAGTTGCTGTTTATGAGTACGATTCACTGGTGAATATATGGGTTCTGAACAACGATGAAAGCATTGATTGGGAACTGGAATACAGTCATGATATTCCCTTTGCAAGCATGGTATCCATCGAATCTGTGGCTGTAAGGAGCGGTAAATTCTTCTTTGTAAACTGTGGATCATTATTTTTTCTACGTTCCAGAACTAATGGCGTGGTGGGAACTTCGCTTTGAGGATGAGTTTGAAAGAATTTCTCCGGTTGTTTTCACCTATGCAGAAAGCCTCCTCCCATGTAAGTGTGTTAATTTGGTCTCTGATACATATTTCTCTAATGTATTATTTAATTCAATATGAGTAGATCTTCATTTATCTAACTACTAACTCCACATTTATCAAGCAACCTTAAGCAGACTTCTTTCTTAATTTGAAACAAGTGAGCGATTGCAATTTAATGCAATATTTTCCCTTGTATTATTGGTCTTGTTGCTAAGTAGGCATGAACCAAAATTTTTTCAAGTTTCTTTGCTTCTGGTATTTCCAACATGACTTCTTAAACAGGTAATGGAAATTTGGGTTCTGAAGAAGAGGCAAAATGATATATGCAGAGCCCGAGTCTCGTTCGTGTGATCTTTGTTTACTGTCGAAAATTTCGCTGCGGGATGAGAGTTTGCTTGCTTCTCAATGCCATAGTTCCAAGTGAAATCTCTCTTGCCTGCTTTGTGTTATTTTGTTTATCGTACTTTTTGGACTGCTTTGGTAAGTTCTCTATTGTACTCTTTAGCTTTCTCTTTGCAAAAACTTTGCTGTTTGTTATGATGTAAAAGCAAATAAACGTATTCCTGAGCTTAATAGCATCAGGGAAACGCTGTGTTTATCATATTATGCAACCCCTTGGCTTATGTCTTCTGCTTGCTTTATTTTTGACCTTTGAGATCAACATCGAATATGTCCTTAAGGGATAGTTAAAATCTGAATAGCGTTATTTCAAAAAAAAAAAAATAAATAAATCTAAATAGCGTCTTATTAAAAATGTAGTATTCTTAACTCCCGTCCAATCCATAGACTCTCTCTCATACTCTAGACTCTCTCTCTCCCTCTTTCCTTAGTGCGGCTAGGGTTTTCTTTTGTTTCGCAATTAAGGTCCCGTTCACTTTACTGATTCGAGTTTAAAATTTAATTTTTACTACAGTAAAAAGTTTTCAGAAATAGTCATATCTAACTGTTTTGCTATAGTAAAAAGCTCTCACATAAAATGACATCTCAACTCAAATTACAAACACGAATCAGCGAAGTGAACGGGCCTTAAGTTATATTTCTAGATTCATACTTGTGATTAAAATCGCAATTAGTCAGTGTCCTGTAAATTATTTGGTTAACCAGGTCTATCGAGGTAACTGGACAACGGGCTTATGTCTGTACAATGTAACTGGACCGGTTAATTGGATGTAGCCCACTGGTTAACCGGAATAACTTTTAGGCCCCTTTTGTACCTTTATTTGAACCCAAGAATAACTTTTATAATTCCAGCTTTAATCAATAATCCAAGGTAGAAATTAGATGATTAAAACAATTATATACTTATAGTCTCATATCAAATAAAAATACATTAATTCAACTAGTTTATCTTTAATTAATTTACACAATTAATTCAACTAATAAATAACACTTGAATTAATTTAATCACTTTATTAATTCAACTAATTTATATTGAATTAATTTAAATAATTAATTAAATCGATTAATTACTCATGAATTAATTCCATCCAATTTATAACCAATTACAGAAATAACATAAGTTACAAATTTGTAGGAAATACACCGTATCATATCAGAAAAATATGAGCTAGCAGAGGGACCCGATGGACATATATTGATTAAGTTCCTATAATCACGACAATATTTGTTAACTCAAAAGTTCATCACATGATTATAAGTTCTAGTGCTACTCCATTAAAAGCCTAGAACCGTACTCTCGACCAATACATTATATTTAAAAAGCTCCAATTAGCTCATGTCCATGATTTTATTATATTGTGTATCATCCCTATAAGATATCCATAATCAACTTGAGGTCAAGTTCCGTTTTACCTTTCCGATTATATTTACCTCATGTTATATTATTACTCCATCAGAAAATCACTATTCATACCAACACAAATAGTAAACTATTAGATAACACAAAATAGTCTAATGGCTGAGCGTTCATGTTTTCCAATCCCTAGATAATGCCATAAGAGGATATCATTAACTCTTTTAATAGTCTAATAGTTGAGCGCTCAAGCTTTTAGCTAAGACTCTTACTCCTTTTTCTTCTTCAGCTCCTCAAGATACTTCTTGCAGTTTATCTTCCAATGACCATTTTTATTGTTGGAAAAACGGCATCGAGTGTGCAGTGAAATTTTAAAATTTTTTAATCAATGCGAAAGCCAACCAAGAACATGTTCATCACGCTATATAACATAAATACTAGAAATCTAAATCATACCTTTAGAGATTATGGAAACAGCATGTCTGACAAATCAAAGCGTTCCAAATAGCAACCGGAAGAGCCTCAACCAACTGGACTTCTTTGCTATTCTCGTTTCCATAGTTGGAGTACGAGGGGGCGCACGTCGTTCAATCTCCCTTTGGTATTCTTGAACTCCGTCCAACCACAAGAGAGTTAAAGGAAAAATCATTCTTGAGATTTAAATAATTTTTCCTCTCAAGAACCTTTACTAATAGCCACCAAAAAGTCTCTCAAGTGATCTAATGAATAATGAGACTTACTGGGCTATTTATAGAGTCCAGTAAGTCATATTCCTGCAACAATTAGATTTTCCAAAGTCAATCTTGCATACAGAGTCAGTTTTTTCATGTCAGTGGGTCTCTGCACGTTACCACCAGTCGACTGGTACGAACAGTGTACTTTTCACCAGTCGACCGGTACCTATTTTGGGAAACTTGTTTCTCAAGTTATTTAATATGAGAAACTTGCACAGAGCTTCAGTTTTGATTCAAATAACCCAATATAGAAGTTATCTGATTAAAACAATCATATAATAGTCTTCCCATATTAAATAAAACTCAAAATAATAATTCAACCAACTTAGCTAGAATTAATTTATCAATTAATTCACCCAATAAATTACTCATAAATTAACAACCGATCTCACATTAACTTTGCACCTTTAGCAGAAATAACATAAGTTACCAATATGTAGGAAATACGCCATATCATATGAGGAAATTATATGAGCTAGCAAACGGACCTGATGGAGATATATAGATCAAACTCCTATAATCACGGCAGTACTTGTTAACCTACAAGTTCATCACATGATTATAAACTCTAGCGCTACTCCACTACAAGCCTAGAGCTGCACTATCGATCCATATAGTATATTTATAAAGCACCGAATAGCTTTCATCCACGACTCAATACATTAGTGTGTCATCCCCATAGGATATCCATAATCAACTTAAGGTTAAGTTCCGTTTTATCTTCCCGATTATATTTATCTTCTGTTCCATTACCACTTTATCAGAAAAACCACTATTCATACAAATACAAATAGTAAATCATTAGATAACATAAAGTAGTCTAATGGCTGAGCGTACGTATTTTCCAATCCCCGGATAATGTCATAAGTAGATATCATTGACTCTTTATAGGAGTTATGGATTCTCTATCTATGAATAATAAATCTACGCACACAAGAGTTGTACCTCCAATGTACTGGTAAGCGTACCTTTACATAATGTCATAATGTCTCCCTTTGGTACATCAAATGATACAAGTCAAGCATACGTGTTCATTATTCATCTCCGATTTAGATGACCACATATAATTTGTCAAAAGTGAATTGTTTTATTCAAACAGAATTATTAATTAAAACAATGGTAAATTTCAATAATAGCACTCCTGAATAAATTATTATAAATTTTAGCACCACTTTTGTATACTTTCACAGTTAGCATCGCCATGTCAGCAGTGTGAGGGTAAAATGACTTCTATACCACTTAGGTCAAAATTATCCATTAAAAGTACCTAAAAGAGACTCCCAACTCTCTCCCGCCCATTCTCTCTCTCTCTCTCTCTCTCTACACCCCATTTTCAGCTCTTTCCTTCTCTCTCTCTATCTCTCTCTCTCTCTCTCGAGTTTGGTCTCTCTTTCTACTCGGTCTCTCTCTTCCCTATGCCATCATTCCCTCATCGCCAATACTCTAGTTGTGCACCAGATCGAGGTTGGTGCACAATTTTTTTTTGTTTTTCTTTTGTTTTTTTCTTTTTAAATTTATTTTTCGGGAGACTTAGTATATAGAACTGGAAAAAAATGACTGCGTTAAACTTAATGTGATAGGAATTGAAAATATCCTTCGTCAATTTGTGATTTTGGATGGTTTATAACTGATATATAAATTGATTGTAACAACCAACACGTTAAAGACATAGTTGACCTTGGGAGTCATAGTATTATGACGCATAGTGTTATATGTCCGGTCATAATACTATGACCAGTCAGTCATAATAATATGAGTCATTGTCTATGAGTCAAATTATAACAGTATGAGTCAAAATGTTCGGTCATAGTCTGGTCATATTATTATGACTAGCCATAAGGCAGTCATAGTGATATGATCATCCGGTCATAATATTATGTCTGAAATGACCCATAGTGTTATGACTGACACACTATGACTGCCTTATGACCGGCCATTACATAGTGTTATGATTGACCATTTCTAATGACTCGATGACGACTAGAAATAATTGCATGTTGATTAACAGTTATTATTTTGAAAATTATTTTGGAATGGTTACTGGATTGAACGTCTTCATCAAGTACAATGGACATTGGAACCGCACTTCAAGATACGTCAATTGTGAAATAAAGGGGATATTGGTCCCCACCAATACAACTTATATTGGTCTTATAGATTTGGTGAGAAATATGCTTGGAATTCGGCCACAAGAAAAAAGTTTATCCTTAACATATGTTGTTGAAGACAGGGAAGCTCCAGTGAAGATATCGTCTGACTATGATGTCACATTCTATCAACGGTATCCCTTCCTCCAAAGCCTTTCTTTTCTTCTAGGATGACAAAAAATGGTAAAAAAAAACAATAAATAAAAAAAACAAGAAAAGCAAACAAAGTTGTTAACCAAAGTACTATGAGTAGCACACTAAGAGTCTGACCATTGGGCAGCCATAGTACTATGACCGACGGTCATAATTCTATGACCGCCCATCATGCAAGCTCGCTCATAGTGTTATGACTTATAGCTGCTCATAAGGCAGTCACATAGTGCGGTCACAGTACTATGACCGACGGTCATAATGCTATGACCGCAGGCTCATAAGTCAGGCAGTCACACTATGAGCCTGCATGCCTGATGGCCGGCCCTAGAATTATGACCATCAGTCATAGTACTATGACCGCACGATGTGCCTGTCTTATGACCGATCATAACACAATTACCGACCGGTCATAATGATATGATCGCCCATCAGGCAGAGTCACAGACCAAATAAGGAGCACAATGACAATAAAAAATTTCAAATAACTAACCTTATCTACTTTTATCTCCCCCTCCAAAGCCTTTCTCTTCTTC